GGCTTTGGTGCTCTGGATTCAGTATTTGATTTATTTACTTCGCTTCCCCCTTTCTTATGATTAATTGGTTGATGATGACTGACAGGGCAGTCAGCACATGTAATGTAGGGTTTCTGTTGCTTGGACACCTCCGGCGCTTTGGTTTTCTTAATGGATACCGGACGTTTGTCATAACCCCTAGAGAACTTGCTAACTTAGGTGGCTACACTGGACTGGTACTTCACAGTGGATGGATTGTCAGATTGAGGAGTAACCGACTTAACAGGAGATGGGTGGAATATAAGCGGGATGGGTTTTGATGTTTTTCGGCTCTTGACGTCTGTGTCAGTGTACAAAAGATGTATTTCAACATCATGTTCTGTTGACTCATCTATGTCCACCATTTCAGTGTCAGCATCAGTGTCTTTATATAATACTTGACTAATATTTGTCAGTGCCTGCGAAGATATCTGATGCATGCGGTCACCAGGTATATCCTTTGACGGAATAACGCATGGAACATCACCCATAGTTGCCCCATTAGAGTTATCAACATTCAGTGTTCCTGAGCAGTATCGTTTTTGGCATGATGTTAAATCAGGTGCAAACTTGATGGTAGTGCAGGTTGCTGAAGAGCCTATTATCTTATCAGATAATAGAAAATTCCTAGATTCTTTAATAGACTTGAACTTGGAAAGCATCGGGCATGAGTGGTCCGCAGATTTCTTACGGAGACGCAAAACCTGATATTCTGTCAACGACATATTACAAGCTTTTAGACACGGTCTTAAGTTTGGCAATAGCCTCTCTGTCTGGAATGTTATAGGCCAAGACGTTATGTGAAGACATAATCCTCTTAACAGCTTCTTCAGCCGAATAATCAATTATGCACTCGGATTCGATAAGTGATTCACGACAGATGTTTTGTGATGGGTCACACAATTGCGTGAGGAGCATAATGCTGTCAGACTTGCTTTGTAGGTCTGCTATTGACTTCTGAAGTGTCAGTAAATCATTTTTGCTACAAGCCGCGTTCTCTGTCAGTTCCTCCATGATTTCAGATACCATAGCACTGGGTGTGTCTGGTGTCAAAAGTGTAGAATCGTCAACGGAGCTGAGGCCTTCAGATGGTTGACGAGTATTAGATCTCAGTCTCTTAACGGTGCTTACACGTTTGCCAGACTTACGAAGACAAGAATTTTCACAATTTCCGAAAGCAGTCTCGAGGATATAAAAAAGAGTGTTGTATTATGGAATTATCGAAAACAACGACAAACAGCAAAATTTTGGAAAATGAAGAACTCAAGCCTTCCTTTAATAGTACTTTCTGGGGATAAAATCCTTAGTTCCAGGTGGTCAGAAAGGGTATGAGAAGATCCTGGGTTGTGGATTACACAGGTGAATACTATATGTATTTTCAGGTGACGGAATACAATCCTTTTTAACTATGAATATGTGGATATTGTGAGAAACGCTGCTAATTTTCAAAAGAATATGGAAAGATGATTCATTCAGAAAAAGAACACCTGTAGCGCAACAGTCCGAGAAGGTAACTAGCTCATGGCTTCCATTTGAAGCGAATGCTTCTCCCTTCTAGGTCAGACAGGCTAAGCAGTGACCATCGGTGGTACGTGTTCGCCATTATACATGAGTTTTAACTGATCTATTTTATCCCCGTAGGATGTAATCTTTTACTCTTCTAGCATGCCTTCTGCAATTCGTCAAACAAAAACCAACTTAGCTTAACATAGGCCTACTGGTATATGGAATTTTATTCCCTACAAGCATTTAGCCTGAGACCCAGTGGGCTCCACGCTGTTCGACCAGCAATGAAGCTTAACCACTTAATTCAACGAATCATTTCTGCCTGTGCAAAAGTGGCCTGGTTAAAAACTGTATATTCACTACCAGCCAGGGAGTGGATTTCAAGGATTAACCACCGTGTTTCGGATTAACTTCGTGACTGTTTTCCTTGTCTTTTCTGATGACAAGCCTGGAAATAATACGGTGTCTGCCTTACTTACAGTCGTGTTGGAAACACTATGCACTTACCTCCTCACCAATTTATCTTAGTCATTCGGGTATTAAGCTTACATATACTATTCAGCTGGATGACTCGATAAAGTCTCCCTTGGTTATTTGAGAACCATATATACCACACTTGACTGACCTGTAGCATTCGGCCAACTTTCTTTCACCGAAAGTGTCGAAAACAAAGAAACTATATGGCTTCCTCCCCACATCGCTGTACGAAACAGGCTATGTTCATTTTTCATGTGCTGCTGAGGTGTTCTAATCTGCATACTGGTAACGCCTTCAAGAATCTTGAATAGCAAGGGCACGGGTAATGAAGAAAAAAGGGATAGTTGCAAAGCGGCATAGAGGACATGAAGTGGAGGCAAAACACAAGTAATCCTTTTGCCCACGCACTATTATACTCCATTTCGCCTTAACTACCCACTCCTTGAATTTTGCCAAAAACTGCCCTTTTTTTCGTATTCGTTGCTCGCTTAAAGTCTGGCCGCTCTGATGGAGACAAAGAACAACAATAGCAATGACCGGAGAAATCTATGTTTTCATCGAAGGCGCCATAGCTTCCATGGAAATAAAATATAGTTGGCATTAAGCGTTGCAAATGTATGCTATCATTCCAAGGAGTCTCCACCTCCTTCTTGTATATATATTGTAAATGTACTTTCAGTGATGTATTATCCATAATTGTATTTCATACCATTTTGCAGCTTCCCAGGACGTTCTCCTCCTCCTGGAATAGCTTTTAAGCACGTGGGAACATAGCAGCTACCCAAGTATAGTCTGTCCACTGGTTGACCATAACTACCAGCAGGCAAACAGACGAAATTTGGGTTGACGCTGAACCTTGATGGTGACCTTAGTGAAGGGTCTACAATTTACACTAATACGAACCTGTTCCAATTGTTTGTACTATAATCCAACAATTTATGCTTTTGGAAAAGTGGTGATGTATGATACTTCAGGATTGTAACTTATAGCAGAACTGATCGTGCCAGTAAAGATGGCATGCATTTCTCGTGAACTTACCTGTCAATGTCCAGGTCTAACTACACTGGATTAAGCGCTGTCCTTAGAAGACCTTCAGCGACTATGTGCATCAACCAACGCGAAAAAACAAAGCACAGATTGGCGACTCGAAAATCTTTTATTCTTGCGTCAATATGGAACCAAAAATAAGGTTATTATACACGAATTCTAAGGATAATGTCACAAAAATTTATCACAATATTACTTCTGATAGTATTTCTCCGTCTTCTAACGAACAGCTATCGATGGATCGATGACTGTAGTATCGGTGACTCCGGCCAAAATATGGAGTTGGGTTTGAGTAAACAACCATGAATAGATCGCTCATTCTTCAACTATATTGACATTACCCGTTTATACGAAATATAAATTATTATTATCAGCCCAGGTAAGCCTACGCAGAACAGTGGCCAACGTACACGAGTCAGTGGTATTAGGTGGCTTTAAAAATGTCTATTTTCTGGGTTGTGGGATGGAATTGTCGGTCCTCGACGGACATCACAACACTGAAATAACAAGTAGTACGTGTAGTTCTAATCTTGTGTTTCGACTGTTTCTTCATCATTCATGGTTCCAGTATACCACTCAACATTAGTGTGAATTACAAATCAAGAGGAGCTTTCTATATTAGTGGCAGTCAAAGATCTAGAATTATTCCGAAACAGCAGGAAGAGAATTCTACGGAGTCGAAAAGCTTGTGCAGGACCGTCTGGAAGACACAGGATACTTATCTGAATATTAGTAGACTCATGTCAGTAATCTTTTTATGGTCGAGAAATACAGTCTAAGCTCTAGCTTGGTAATCAGATATGCTATAACCCCGGAGCAAAAGAATGATCCTCTAAGGCCATCTTTGATAGCGCAAGGAATATACCCTTGATTGAATATTATGCCATTAGTACTCATTATGGAAAGATAAATAAAAACGGTAACAGGAGTGTTTTTCGATTTGTGAAATGATGGGACATTCACATGCACTTCACTAATAAATATTATTATTATATCAAAATTAGCAATCGATCTCAACGAGATCATTTTAGTTTACAGTAGTCAAAGAAGGAGATACTGGATTGTAGGATCTATTTTTATAATATCCCACTGTCGCCTCATTGACAATTGTACATTCAAGGCGCTTCATATGGAAGTAATTCAGGCACCTTTTTAACCCGCATAGTGTAACTTACTGAGTTTTTTACTAATGAGTACGGAAGAGAAAGAAATGGTAATACTTTTTGGCATTTTCATTTTCTCTTAAGTGCCCCCTGTGCATGGAACCAATGGAAGCAGATGACCTTGCTTTCTATCCATGCGACTGTCGGTACCAGGCAAGTAAACGTAAAATATTTCGTTGTAATCGGAGTAGGTATGCCGCTTCTGTTGGGCTAAAATCATCAATGAAGAAAATGGCCTGTGTCCAGCATGTCGAAAGGTAGGATTCAACATAATGCCTAGTATCGTTTAGGAATATAATTCGGAGAAACCAGCTTCATATAAACCTATTTCAGAATCTGAGTAAGTTTTTTTCATCCCGACAAACTGTTTTCCAGAGAATCTCGATGTAGATCAAGCAGGAGACGTAAGGAATATATGAAGAAAACAAAATTAAACCCTGAGATGCTGAAAATATTACCGGAATTAAGGTATGTTAAAGGTTGCGTAGGAAGGTTATTTGTTAGAGTTGTGCAGCCGAACCTTATATTTGTGGTCGGGTTGCCCACGTGGATTTCCAAAGACAAAGATATTTTGAAGGGTCAGGATTATTTTGGGCGCTACGGAAAAATATTCAAAGTTGAGGTTAACCAGAACCAAACTTTCGGTGGACCACAGGTGGGCTTTCATTAGTGTTTCTGTTGAACTTGCTGTGTCTTGGGCTTGCGTGTTTACTCTATATTTTCTGTTTGTACTCTTAGGGTCAACCCAGTTTCAGTGCATACATAACGTATTATCGAGCTGAAGATGCTATGCGCTCAATTAGAGATCTTAATCAAAGCACGTTACATGGAAGACCTATTCGTGTTTCTCTTGGTACGACAAAGTACTGTAGTCAGTTCCTAAGAGGCACTAAGTGTACCAAGCATGTAAGTCAAGGTTCCTTGTTAAAGTGTTTTAAAGTTTAGTGTGTCAGCTGTTAAAATAGCTGTTTTGTATGCTGTATTATATGAGATTTAAAACAGTCTAACTTTCAGGAGTGTAAAATTCGGTTTAGTATATTACCAGTTGGATGAGCTGACGTTACCACATTCCTTACTCCAAATTTCAATCATATATATGTATATATTTGTTTATCAAATTTCTGGTTTGGAATATGTCTGTCTAATCCCTCCATGAAAGAGTCGATTGAAGACGCTCACAAATTCCGGTATTTGATTTCAAAAGTTTACATTTCTGTGCGGGGATCAGTATTCCATAACGATATAGTTCCTCCTTGGATTTTGAACTGCTGCTATGTCCTCTGGTATGACCCCAACCGATGAAAAGAAACAGTGACATCAGGTCCACGATCATTTTTAGGATTTCGAACACTAATTACATCTCGCTGCATACAACATGATAAAAATACATAGAAACTGTTTAGTGTTTCCGTGCATGATAAATTACTCTTACTTGGAACCATACATGTAACCTTCGTCTGAAATCTCTTTAGAATGAGTCCCCCTTGGGACAAGGGCTGGCTGATGGATACATATTTTTAGTTTGAACCTTACCAATGTGTAAAAATATATTTACTGGTGAGCATTTCACTCGTGATCCTGCTAAATACTGCCCATTGCTCATAAAGATCTGAAACTGCAAGCTGCCACTACGTCAGTATACGTGGTTTTTAGGTCATGATTTACCGTGACCAGTGTGCATCTAAACTGACAAGAATGGTATCGCCTCTATCATGCGCGCTAACACTTGCGTGCACGAAGCACATGGCTGCGCATTTCGCTACGTTGAATAGTGGCATCCATTTTTCGGAACAATCTAACATATTACTAGGACTTACTTCCAACGTCATCCCTGATTGACGAATTCCTGCAATAGCTTTATTTCTAACTGAACTGTACAACTTCCTGGTCTCTGAAGTCCCAAGCATGATAAACAAACTCCAGCACTTGTGCTTCATGAATCTCCTTATATTATGTAAGGGGAAGTGTTTTCAACCCTGTGTAACTGACCATGAAATGAAGAGTTGGTTTACTCAAGCATGAAGTCGCTTGAATTGATTACATGCAGTTTCCCCATGAGATTGCGGACTTACGTCTCAATCTTAGGATGAGTCTTCAGAAATGACAACATTTATCATCAGTTTTCCAAATGTTTGGTTCAGGTGGAGTTTTGGTCCAGGTTATCACTACAGCTGTGAACACAGTTTGGTCACTTTCTAGGAATAGAGGGGGTATTGCTTGGGGTCTACGTCCTACCGTGGGAGAAAGCTATCTCTAAGTTTGAATAGGAATGCTGAGAATCATAATGTGTATGTGTCGTAATCTGCTATACTAGAACCAATGAATCAGGAGATTTTATCAGTTGGTCGTCGAAGTTATTGTTTGAGGTGGGTGTTATACGATTTATCTAATGGACTGAAGGGTCGTTAACATCACCGACTTTAATGCCCAGAGACTTGGATGTGCTTGAACGTAATTTTCTCAATTTCATCTGGACCGCAATATGTAGCGATAGGGTTGATGTTTTGTCCTTTGTGTTTTAATCTGTAGCGTAGAAATTTGCATGATCCATTTTCCTGTGCGAGAGCTTCTGTGCTACTCAAAACTAGGCACCTCCGGTACTAGATAACTACTCCACTCCCTTTATGGTTTGTTTGATCCTGCAGAAAATCTGGAATTACCAAACTTCGAACTTTTACTACCCAAAACCCTTGATAACGAGGTTTTTCGCACACTTGCGGCGTGTTTCGTCCAAATCCAGTTCGCAGACCGCTCGACCGCTTGACAGTATTATTGCTGAGGATTGCATTCTTCTATATTTAATGTGACTTTGAAAAGGTGTACTGATTGCCTTAATGTAGAGTCAGCCTTTTCGCCCATTCTGTAGAAACTATGGATGGCTTATGCCTGCTAATGTTGCAGGGAAGACTAGGTTGTCTAAAATTGATTTGAGTAGACTAAGATCATGTTCGAACCTGGCCTCGAGGTCCCAAACCTCTTATTCTTTCATTTAATAGGAAATAATCTATCTGTCAGAGAGATTAAGTTTGCTGCAGTTGGCTATTTCGTTTTGAAGCGATAGTATCTCTCTCTATTTTTCAAGGCCGATACGTATTGCGCAGTGGTTTTGTCTCGCCTTTTGCAAGGTAACCCAAGCTGTTAAAAAGTCACGCCATCTACAAATAAGTAACTTATAAAGAACTAACTTTAACAATAACAACTTGAGTTAAGCTTTATCTGTAAGCTTTTATGGTGTATAACAACAAAGCAAAAATACACTTTCAAAGTTCGGCAGCTTATATCTATATATAATACTCTATCATTGATGCATGTTTGTGCTCTGTTGAGATATCAAGTCGCTAGTGTGTTTTGAAAGCAATACCCTCTGGTCTTCTGATGATGTATTGTGGAATCATTTTGGTAAATAAGGCCGTTTCTTGTCTTAACCAGTAAATTTATAGATTTTGAAATCTAACCCCCTTTAATTATTTCAACTGACTGAGGTAAGTACTTACTTTACTTTACTTCGGCTATCTCCTACGGGAGGATGAGCCGGCTTCATGAACATCTCGAATCATCGCTGCCCAGGCGCGGCGATCTGATGCAAGATTTTGCGTCGTTTGTAAGAGAGTTCATAAAGTTTCATGGGAATTTGGTACGAGTGATGTCCCCAGAATCGCTCAGCCTTTTGTTTGAGAGTGCAGCTCTAGCCTTTACACAACCAAGTGTGACCTACAAGGCAGTAGGAGTGGAGTAGGGAGTCCACTATCCATTGGCAGCCGGTGACCGGAGTTCGGTTCATACGCCTTTTTGAATGGGGCCAGACATCCAGGACATCCAAAAAGCCCTGTGTCTATACGTCTGCCGGTGAGCTCCAGTGAGCTTCATACTCCAGTCGTTGGAGGTTTGGAATCAGGGTTTAGCCATCTCCCCTAGACTGTCATCCAATGGACAGTCAACCCGGTGAAGAGCGCCGGGCATCCGCTTTCGCCCTCTCACTTTGGTGAAAAACACCTCCGCCACGTGAAGGCAGTGAGTAGGACTTCCTCAGGAGAGGCTATGTAAGACGCCCGGTCATGTGGGAGCATTTCAAGAGGTGTGCGGAGGGGTGGCCAACCCGCAGCGCAAGGCACCCCCCCCGACCATCCTCAGGCTTTGGAGGTAAGTCAACAACTCTGAGCACAAGAAATGGTTATGAGTGTACGAAAACTACTAGCTGCTCTTCGTTGAGTCATAAAACTGATTTGAAAGTTTAGTAACAGCTTATCAGACTCTGACAAAAAGGTGGTTCACACAAGCAATGTGGTGGTAGATAGTTTCTATACTCAACAAACATCAGTGACAGTCGTGATTTAGTTAGAGATCTAGCTAAGATCCATCGAATGAAATCTAACTCCTGTGTTTGTGCTGACTAAGGGGATCATTTCTACAATCCTTTATAGATTCAATGAGCTAAAATGAGGGGTTAAATTCATTTAGTCTTTATTTCTTTTTTCACAGGTAAACAGGCATCATCTATTGATGTTAAGTGGTATTTTTTTATCAATTATTGACATTAAATAATTTAATATATTCGTGTATTGCTTGTAAGACGATTAAACACTACCATTGACAAATGTCGTCAAACAGATTCTTTTATAAAAAAATGTTTTTTGCTTAAACAAACAGATGTATAATTGTGCTTCACCTATTTATCAGCTGAATATGTCTTTGTAGTACATGGAACCACTTACATATTTGATTGTTGTTCATTCGTGTATATTCTCTTGGTCAATGATTTAAACGATGTGGTTGTGTGGTTTCTTAAAACAGTACTTTGCACAAAGTGTAACGTTAATTTTTTTTTGTTCACGTTCCCTAGTGGAACATAGGGCTTCAAGCTAGTGGCTTGAAGTTTCTGTAGTAGCGTTTATTTTGACAGGATGGGGTTGCTAGCCTCATGCCCAACCTTTCCTCTTCACCAGCATTATTTCTGTCTTAGCGAGGTAAAGGAGTGCATTGGCAGGTGATCGAACCCCAGACCATGTGCATGGTCGGCGAGCGTCCTAACCGCTGTCACCGACGCACAAAAAAGCCGGCAACACCCGGTATTCCCAGCCGGTCACCCATGCAAGTACTAACCGGGCCCAACGTTGCTTAACTTCGGTGATCGGACGAGAACCGGTGCTTTCAACGTGGTATGGTCGCCGATGATGACTGTACAGTGTTGTTGCATTTTTACATTGATATTTACGGGTTGCTTTTTTGGAAATTTGATGAATTTCGCTTCAATGTTTCATTTGGAATTAATCAGTCACATTGACGCTTTGTTTTAAACTGCTTTGATTATCGATGAATATCTTTTCTTGTCTTTTATATCAAGGAGTGTATGTATTTGCATGAATTGGGCGATTCAGCTGCAAGTTTTACTAAGGAAGAAATGCAAGCTGGAAAGCATACTGAATATATGAATAAGCTGTTACAAGAATTTTGTCAATCTAAATCATCGTGTACTTTGGATTCACAAAAAGAGGAAACCACTATCTTAGGTCCAGTAGATTCTTCCGGGTCAAATACAAACGATGCTACTATATCCCATCCTGTTGAATCAAGCAGTCATTCAAATGGTCGAAGTCGGGTGAGATATGATGGTACTTCTTCCATGTCAAGTGAAAACTCAAATTTTCAAATGTTGGATAGATCTACATCACAGTCAGAACAAACATCGGATTCAGGAAGGAATGTATCGACTAGAGATACGCGTAAATTAAGACATACAGATAAAGACCATATGAGTGGAAATTCAGTTTCTGATGCTTCTGTCAATGATAAATCCAAATTAAGTTACGGTAATTCCAATAAGTCCAACAACTGGAATCATTCATCATCTTCATCAGATTATTCATATAGGAAACCTGCGAAAAATTCGTTTGGAAATTTTCATTTTAAGAATACGCCTGAAACAACAGACGCAGACAAGTCTTACGGTGTAGGTGGTAAAAGTGTTAATGTACGACATAATCATTCCGTACAAAATCGAATTGCAGTGTCTCAGTCCGCTCCATCTAATCAAGTATCCACTGCTGCAGAGCCAGTTTGCACAAATAGTAATAGTTGTCATCGTACCTGGTGTCGTCCGACTTCAGTGAATTCATCTAATATGCAACCACTATTAGGAGATGAACCTGCAGATATTGATTTTGATCCATTTCGTGAATCACAACAGGGTTTAGCTGAATTGTTAGCTGCTGAAGTTGCACGCCTTGAAGTATCTGATTCTCTATCCAATCATCGTGTATGTTATGCTAATGGGTCTTCAGTGAATAAAACTCCTTACTGTTCAACTGGTGGTGGTGGTGATCCAGTGAAATCACAGTCTTCTCACATAGACACCAGAGTTCCTCAGACAACAGTAGGTTGCGATCCTTCTCAACCTACAGGAATACATCCATGGTATCCTAATTTAATGTCATACAACAGAAGTAACAATGATGCAGATAAAGTATCCAATGTGAGTTACAATAATTTTACTAGCCATTATCCACCTCCTGGTTTTGAGGAAGCTGTAAAAGCTTATGATCAGGCTTCTTCTAACAATCAGTTTTTGTCATCTTCTGCACCTGATCCTTTAAGTCCAGCCTATCCAGAGCCAAATTATTCATGCCCTGAAAATTTTGGATGTAACAATAACAATATACATAATACAACTGGGTCTTTACTACAATCTACTGCATTTTCAAGAAATCTACCTTCAACAGACTCTAGTAGTGGAAAATATACAGCAAACTCTATGTCTTTAGAGAATTGGCTCGAAGCTAAACGAATATCTGATCATATAAGTGCAATGTATCCAGACACCTTCTACTCACCAATTCCTCCACCTGTACCTGATGTTAACAACCAGGTAAAGGGTGAATCAATTCCACAGAACTCTAGTCAGTTTATGAACAACGTATTTACTGCTGTGTTCAATGCTCCCGGTGTAACAAGTAATGGTGCAACCAGTATGTATGATAAATCTGCAGCAAAATCTTCAGCATCTATGTTCGATCTTAGTCAACTAATTAATCAGCTTTATTGTCAATCCTCTAGTTATTCAGAAACAAATACACATCCTCCTAATGATTGGTCAGCTAGAGTCAGTATGCCTTTAGGATGTACACAAAATGAAGTTGTAGATTCATCTATGTGTTCTAGTTCAGCAGCGCCAAACCCGAATATTTTCATCCCTGGAAAATATGTATCTAGGACAGGTTCTTTCCCTAGTAATAATGAATATCAACAACATCAGAAGATGCTGTTTGGCATAGTAAGTATCAATACTTGAGTCTCTTTTTATTTTCATTGAGCTTCTTAAACTGCTTAAGTGTGTAACTCATACAATGTCAGAAGTCTCTAGACACATCAATTACTTCATGTTTTTTTCTTAGTATAATAATATTTCTTAGTACTTTACAGATGTTTCTCTATTAACTGTATAATCATGTAGAACTCTACTTCCTATTTCGGGGGTAAAGACAAACACTCGTCGACGATATTGGCTAATGCCAGTCGTGCTAAAACCACGAACTGGTAGAGGTCGCAATTCATAGGCTATTGAGTCGGGTCCCAGTGGCTGAAATGGTCTACGAGCTTGCCTTGTAACCGGAAGGTCCTGGGTTTGAAACCCGGTGGGTGCTTACTGTGATGAGTTCCAGACTAGGACGAAACAGTTGTCTAGTACCCCCTGTTGGTTTTTAATGCTTCTCTAACTGATACCAATCCGTGATCAAACTATTTCGGTAGTTTCCAGCCATTTTATTAATGTTTTTTTCTTCAGTAGATTAGTAGTGAAATACCTTTGTTCACTCTGAACATCCATTTGGAATTAAACAATTTTGTAAAAATAGTTATTTCATCAAAGATGCTTTTAGACCTTTTTCTGCTGCCTAGGAAATATAATTTTGACAAGTTTTATGTTTTAGGTATATCAGGGGCTTGTGAAAATGTAGTATATTGACTTAAACACTTGATTTTCAGTCGATAGGACCCGGGTTCGAGTCCTGCTCCACTGACTTCAGCTTGGTCAACTGAGTAATGTCATTAGCCGCCACACGATAAACGTGGTTCTTAGTCCGATACTGGTTAATTGAGTTCTATAAATGTAAATAAGTAATTTGGTTACAAGGCTAGCGAGCTCGTATACTATTGAGCCACTGATAACGATGGAAGCCAAAAAGTCACCATCGATAGTCTCCAAATAAGTAATTTACCATGGGCTCCGACTGTCACTTCCACTTCCTGTGTAAGCCTCTTGCCTTTCCGATTCTAGCTGGTTTTGACATCTTCATTCGTTCCGCCTGTGGTTGAAGCAATGCTTCCTAGATAAGTGAAGGGATTAACCTCTTTCAAATTTCTCCCTTTGATATTGATTGGTGTTTATTGTTGGTTGGTTGGTTATCTTCATCACCTCTGCCAGTCTTTTGGTTTTCTCCTTTAAGTCTTCGAGTTTGCGTGGCAATAGACATAAAGCATCCGCGAAATCCAGGTCTTGTAGAGTCTCCTTATCGGTCCAACGTATTTCTGTCTTCTCGCTCCCCATACACAGTCTGACGCATAATCCAGTCCACCATAATTAAGAATATCATCGGTTATACTAGGTAGCCAGCCTTGTCTCACTCCTGTCTTCACTTCGAAGGTTTTGCTTAGTTTTCCGTTGTGGATCACCTGACACGTTGACTGCAGTGTATGTTAATAGTTGACTAGATATGAGCCTCGAGCTTAAGTTGTATGCCTCGGCCGACAACTGTTACCTTGCCGTGGTGGTCGGGCTTGAATACCGCAGTGACCCAACAAGCTAAACTGTCTGGGACTCATGTCCCTGCAGGTCCTACCATGTCAGGAAGGTTGTTTGGATAGCGGTTAGACTAAAAGCCGTTACCATGGGGTACATGGGCTCCAGAATCCAATCGGATCAAATGGCGTATGAACCCATATGGGTCACCGGCAACCATTGGAACGCAGCCCCTGACGCTGCTTCGCTGCCTTGCGGATTAGACTCCAAGTCAAAGGCTTGGCGGGTGGTCCCTTAAGAAAACCACCTGCTTCGGTCTGGGCGCCCGGACAGTATCTCATCCCTCACACAACAAATGAACAAATGAAAACAACAAACTATTATTGAAACTCACCGTGCGCTCGTAAAAATGATTTCAAGAAATAATGATACCTCAAGCAACTTATGTCCTTCCAACCTTACTTTTATTTTTATATTTAGATTCCTGTATTTTACCTTTGCTCACCTTGACTTCTTAACCTTCGACAGCCTTTCGCCTTTGTCTGGATTCCTAGCCTATCTGTGTCGTTTCGAGATGTTAGTGAGTAACCCTCAAAATGGTTGTCCCCAATGTGACATGTATTTTTTATTTATTTTGATTTACGGCTTGATTCCACACCGTATTTTCAGTACAAGTGTGGAATTTTCAGCATGGATATCGGTAGCCCAAATTCAGGCCGACCATAGATATCGGGTGTGCGCCGGCAGGGGATCGAACCCCGGACCATGTGCATGGTCGGCGAGAGTCCTAACCACTGTGCCACCGACGCACATCTAACACAGATATCCTGAAACCGCGTGTCGCGTTCAAGCTGGTCACCTACAATGTTTGGACGCTAATGCAAATCGGACAACAGGCAGGGTTGGTAAGAACATTGGAAAGCCTCGCTATCGATGTCTGCTGCATTTCGGAGACCTGCATTCAAGATCCCAGTGAAGTGCTTCGATTATCCTCTCCATCTGGAAGTTCTAGTAGTATGTACCACCTGCACCTGTCCGGGGACCCTGTGGTGTCGGCATCCGGCGTAGCTGGTGTCTGTGTCGCACTAAGCGCTAGAGCCGAAGCTGCATTACTCGACTGGATTCCCACTAACAGTCGTTTATATGCTGTGAGGCTGGACGGTTTTACGAAAGTAAGGACTAGTAGGCCAGATAGGCGGTGTCTATTTGTTGTTTCTGCCTATGCACCAACGGATTGCAGCCAGGATGCAATAAAGGATGAGTTCTACCACCAACTTAGCGATCTCTTGAGACGGCTGGTCGGAGGGATATCGTAGTGCTGGCTGGGGACTTGAATGCACAGGTCGGGTGTCTAAGCTCAGAGGAGAATCGTCTAGGTGGTCAATGGGGCCTACATGGTCGCAGGCCAGATAATGGGGACCGTCTTCTGCAGCTTTGCGCGGATCACAACCTATTTCTAGCCAGCACCAACTTCCGGCACAACCATCGCCGTAGCGCTACCTGGCGTCCTCCCTCTGCGAATCAAGCTTGCACTCAGATCGATCACATTGCTGTCAGTTTCCGGTGGCGAGGATGCATACAAGACTGTCGCTCCTTCTGGAGCACATGCCTAGACTCCGATCATGCGTTAGTGCGTGCCAAGTTCGTCTTGCGTTTTGGTGGGGTTCATAAAAGACGTCGTCTAAACGTTGATGTAAGCAAACTAGTAGCACCTGCTACTTGTTTGAAATATCAGAATGAGTTACAGTCAATGCTTGTCAGCAACCCCCCTAAGTAGTATAGATGAACATTGGCTTCATCTGCAAGGTGCCATGCAAAGGGCGAGTGTAGCCGCTTGCGGCTTGAAAGAATGCTCCGCCAAAAACCACTGGGTTTCTGCGAGTTCCTTGCAACTCCTGGATGAATGCCGGTCCATTCCGGCTGGAAGCGAATACAGCAATAAGCGAAAGGCGCTGACGCGCAAGATAAGACAGTGTTTACGTAAGGACCGCGAAGTCTGGTGGTCAGAACGTGCGGGTGAGATGGAGTCAGCTGCTGAATCTGGCAACAGTCGGAAGCTGTTCCAACTCATCCGAGCCACCGGCTGCAAGAAACAAGGTGTCAGCGAGACGGTCTGTGAGGCAGAGGGCAAGCCAATTACCAGCTTGAAAAGACGCCTGGAACGCTGGGCAGAGCACTTCGGGAAACAGCTTAGCTGGCCACCAGCTTCGATGTCTGCTGTCATTAGCCCCAGTGCTCCTTGGTCGGTTAATACCGACCCACCCACCGAAGCGGAGGTCCGTAAGGAACTCCAAGTGTTAAAACGCCATAAGGCACCCGGCCCAGACGGTGGCGAGACTCTCACAATGGCTCTAACTGGGTTGTTCAGGAAGGTATGGGAAACTGAGAGTGTACCATCAATGTGGAACGAAGCCATTATCGTCCCCATCTTTAAAAAGGGTCGACGTAATTCGTGTGACAATCATAGGGATATCAGTCTGCTACCAGTCGCGTCTAAAATATTGGCTGCTGTCTTGCTTCGCAGGCTGTGCAAAATACGTGAGGGATTGATTCGCGAATAGCAGGCTGGGTTTCGTTCAGGTCGTGGATGCATTGATCATGTGTTCACCCTTCGTCAGTTGTTGGAACACCGCCACACGTATTGCAGGCCAACGATCGTTGTGTTTCTTGATATTACGGCTGCCTTCGATTCGTTGGACAGAACTGTGCTCTGGAACTGTCTGTTAGAGAGAGGTGTACCTGAGAAATTTGTTAACATCTTGAAAGTCCTATACAGAAACACCTCGGGTGGAGTGAGGGCATACAACCAACTATCATCACTGTTCCCAACCAACAGTGGGGTTAGACAGCGTCGCCCAATCTCTCCATTTCTCTTTAACTTTGCCATCGATGACATTCTGGAGTCAGCTCTGAAGGATGTGCGTGAAGGTGGTGTAGATCTGCTCCCTGGAGATAGACTTTTCGACCTCGAGTATGCAGACGATATCGTCTTACTGTGCGATAGCATGCAGGCTGCCCAAATCGTACTTAATCAGTTGGCGATCAGTGTCTGTAAGTATGGTATGTGCTTTGCACCGTCTAAGTGCAAAGTACTGTTACAAGATTGGCAGGAGTCTGTACCTGCACTCACTCTTGCGGGTGAACCGCTTGAAGTTGTTGATAAGTTTGTGTATCTGGGTAGCTGTGTGAGTGCTGGCGGAGGGGTGACGGATGAGATTTCCAACCGTATAAAGAAGGCTAGGGTGGCATACATCAACTTGAGCCACCTCTGGCGCCGTCGCGACGTTAGCCTCGCTGTCAAAAGTCGGGTACACAGTGCTTCGGTGTGGGCTGTCTTGCTCTACGCCTGTGAAACCTGGCCTGTCCGTACTGAGGATGTGCGGCAGCTCTGCGTGTTCGATCATCGCTGTCTCCGCAGGATTGCTTGCGTTCGATGGCATCATCGCGTGAGTAATTCTGAGGTTCGGCGGCGTGTGTTTGAACACAGTGGAGATCACCATTCGTTGAGTGTCGTCATCTGGAAACACCGGCTTCGGTGGCTTGGACATGTGTTG